TGGCCTCTTCTGTCGAGCCGTGACGTTCAGGCTAACAGGAAACGGTTTTGTTAAATATTTAAATGTTTTTCCGTCCTGAGCCGAACGCATAAAGCGAGCCCGACGACGTGATGTTGAGGAAGAGTTTTTAGTTTTTAGAATTGTTAGAAATGTCAATGGAGTTTTGAATGAGGTTTTGTTTTACGTCTGGAGCAGAAGAAGAAGAAGTGGTTGTGGTTTCACGTCGGCGCTCTATAAAGGCAGCAAAGCAGCGATGAGTAAAGCAAGGTATTCGGCCGTCGACTCGGCCTGATTGAGTTTAAGTGACTGTTTGTTGCTCAGTCAGTTTGTGGTCACTAACAAACCTCCGTACAGCCGCTTTGTTTCAGCAGAACTCAGTGAGGAAAACAACATGAATAAAAAACAAGCTGCAGCTTCACGTTCAGCTGGAAGTACACACAGCAAGTGCTAACGCAGTATTACTGTGTACTCACAGTACTGCAACACACACACACACTCTGTGACGCATCATCACAGCCTCGGCCCGTTTGTTTGTTTGTGTGGCGGGGGAGTCCATCTCTTGTTGCTAGGAGACGGTGCAGGAGGTCAGTGTTTGTCGCTCTGAGAGATGAAAAAAAAAATAAAAGTACCTACAAGCTCAGCAGCAGCAGATGGCGCCGCAGGACGCTGAAGGGTTAAAGTCCCTGAAATGAAGATCTGACAGGAAGTGAAGGTGCTGAACGCCGTCTGGCCGTGAAATGAGCCGACAGCTGGCTGATGGTCAGACGACACGTTGCGAACCTCGTTAGTGTTTCCTGAATGTCTCGATACTTCGCTCGTCCCGCTCCGTGATGAGCGTTTCCTTTCCCACCGACCTCGAACGTCTCAGCTCGGCTCCGGAGGAAAAGTCCCCTCGGCCAATCAGAATCAGGTTTAACAGAAAAGGTTTAAAGGAGGATGTCAGCCTGTTACCCATGATGCATCATGTCCGTCTCCAGCTACACACTTTATATAAAACCTGATTCTCGCCGCCTTACGGCGCCTCTTCCTGTTGGCTGCTCTGTTTCTGCAGCTCCAGCTGCTGATTGTTGCCGCCGCCGTTCTTCTTGCTTCCCTCTCTGGTGCCCGCGCCGGTCTTGGAGGTCGAGGACGTGACCTTTAAGCTTTTCGACGTCTTGGACCCGCGGGTCTTCTCCTTGTTGGCGCCCTCCAGAGGCAGCGTGGGGCTGGAGTGCGCCCTCTGCAGGCCGCCGTCGTCAAACAGCCGCGACTCGAAGGCAGACAGGTCGTCGTCTCCGCTGGACAGCTTGGCCCGAAGCAGCATGGCGTACGTACCGTACCGGGTTTTCTGTAAAGGAGGACGGAGACGAGAGACGGCGGTTAGAGACGGCGGTGACGTCACAGAGGACAGTTTGATTATCACAGGAAATAAAATCTGAAAACTTTCAGATCTGTTGGTTTTCAGCTGATCTGAATCATATCAACAGGAAGTGAAGCTCTTCTCACCTGTTCACTAAAATAAACATCTCACGCTGCTGAAAGCCTGAAATAATCTCTAATATTGGCCCTAAATACTAAAACAAGAATTTATTAGTGCACATTTCACCTCTGAAAGCCTCGATTCCTCTTCTCCAACAGGCAGAAAGAAAACTCAGTGTGTCTTTGCTTCTCCTTCTGCTTTGGTGCCCCTGCACCTGTGGGTGTGTAACCCCGGCCAATAACCGCATGCAGCGGTGAGAAGGCTCCAAGAGCGGAGGGCAGGGCGCAGGAAAAACAATTACAGCGAGGCGGAACGCCAAGAGGACAGAACTCGCTCTCACACGAGACCCGCTGCAGAGAACTGAACCAGTTTCAGATCTTTCAGTGATTCTGATCCGAGTGTTGGGCAGCAGTATTATTACTGTCCCTCTGACCGAGAAGAGGAAAGGTTGTTTCCACTACAGTAATAATATTTCAGTCCCTGACCGCTGTGGCAGAAGCTGGACCTCATGTTGTTCAAGCCCAGAAGCTAAAGGAAGAACAGACAACGAGGGAGAGAGGCGTTCTTTCCACAGCTGGAAATATCTCCATTATTGTGTCACAGTCGGAGATAAAAACAACTTTGTCGTCCGTTGTAAACTTTGTGCGACCAGCAAAAAGCTTTCAACCGCAAACAGTTCCCATCTAATTTATTGAAGCATCTGAAGCAGCGACGTGAAACTTGCAGACAGAAACTCGGGCAGCTGCTGCCACAGATGCTCGGACTCGTTAAGCAACGTT